TTTAATAATGGAAATATGCCTGCAACCATCTTACTTCACACTTTTCTTATTGCAATTCAACTTATGTAAATATTGTAACAAACAACTATTCTTCTTTTGATGATAACTCAATAATGAAATAGGTATAATAACCAAAAATTAACTAGGTACCCAGTTATTAACCGCTACCCTGCCAGATCTTCATCACTAGATCCAGTTTTTTTAATCTCAAGACCCGGAGCCAAGTACCATTTGACCTGGCTAATTTTAGTGGGTATTCTGTGCTGGATACTCCGATGTTCGACACAACGATATTCAGAATTATGCAGTTTTCATATATGCGGTTTCATTCATGCAATTCATATATGCAGTTTTGGAAATCCAAATATTAAATCACTTATTTAATAATCAAGCTGAAATATCTGTTTAGGTACTACACATTTTACATTTGTTCAGAATTTTAAATAGGGAAAACCTTGATAAAATGAAAACCTTTAGGACAGAGAAATATGTTTGCTAAACAGAGGTGTCCACTTAGGAATAGGAAATTCAGAAATCTAAAGCTGTCAACTATTTTAACAAAATAAATATAGTTATATAAATGCAAAATTAGAAATAAAGAATTAAATAAATATTTCTTTAAAGACAATAAAATTTAAATAAATAAAATTCAAACATAACTAAAGAAAAATGTTACGTATGTAAAGTGCTCTTATACTAAATTTTCTTTCAGCGAATGAGTAAATGCAATGATATGATTTTATTATTTAGGCTTGTAGGCTTCGCATTTTATAGAAATATAAACAAATAATGCAAACAGAACGTAACTATATTTTTAACAATATATTAATTGCTCTAAAGCTATGTTTAATTAAACATCATTGAAAATTAATTTTTAAGTAAATAAAAGCACATGTAAAAACCAAGACAATTAGTTTAAAAAAAATTGATAAATAAAAATTTTTGTGGTAGTTTTTATTTTAAAAAAAAATTATTTTTATTTTTATATAACTCAACAAAAAATTTACTTGGAAACATTGTAATACATTTTCTGTAAAAATTTTTAAACATGTATTAATAAAGTCCCAGCCACCGGTAACCTTGAACTAAATTTTTACTAAAAGGCGTGTTTCTAAATTGTTAGCTAATTAAATTCAATTTCCATCCAGTCTAGTTTTAAAGTTCATTTATCATTGAGTTAACCATAGGAAATTCTCAAGGTTTTTTCCTTGCTTACTCCAAATATGCATTGGTTTCAAAGATAATATTTTTGCATGAAAGCAAATTTACTCCTCGTTTGTTGTTTGACCTAAGAATTATTTTATCTTTTGTGAATTCTAAGTTATTAGGATACAGAGATTGAATCCTAAAATTAAGGACATCAAAACTGCTATATCTATCTTCTGTTCAATATTGGAAATAAGGTAAAATTTCTTTCCAAATATCAAAAAGCTTAAGAGATTGTACTAAGGCAGGGGTGGCGAACCTTTATACACAAACGTGCCATTTTTTCTAAAAAATTGTTTAATGAGGTCATAGACATGCCGTCAAATAATTTTGACTTCGTGATTATTGGGAAAATAATAATACTAAATACTATCAACTTGAAACTCTTTATTTATATTGAAGAAAAATAAATTTTGTAATGTCTCAGTTATACACGTAATTCAACTCAAAGTAACATCAGAGTGACTTCTGTTGCTGCAGATTAGATGACAAATAACTTATATTGGGTTGTAAGATGTTAGTTTAAGTAGGACTGTCAAATTTCTTCTGCTAGTTACTTATTGTTAGCTTGTTTTTTATAGTTATTGTTTTTTAGCATTTTTTTTATTAATAAATGTTTATTATTATTTTATTTTTTTTGTGAATTTTAATTTAATTGTTACATATGCTTCATAGCGTAATAACATTTGTGTAATAACAATTCATAGTGCAATAACAATTGTGATCGGTAGCGTGCCCGAAATATTATGTCGCGTGCCATTGGTTCGTCATCCCTGTACTAAGGTATATCTGCATTACACAGGGTTCCCACTCAATTTCAGAAAAACAATTCCCTGACTTTTCCAGGTATACCAGGTAAATTTCAATGAAAATCAAGACCATATTTTCATTAGAAAACTTTGATTATTTTATTTGTAATGCGAAATGTAAGATTTTCTGTGTAAAAAAAATATATCATTAAATGAGGATGGGAACCATTCAGTTTGACTAAAATATGATAATTGCAATAGATATTAATATCATCGAATCTCAATAACTGATTACTGTTACTGACAATTTTAAGACAAATTATTTTCCAGTTATGATACAAAAATATTCCATATTTTTGCAACAACAAAAAATTGCAACTTTCCCTGACTATTCCCTGATTTTTGGAGTTAAAATAAAATTCCCTGACAATTCCAGGTTTTCCCTGTTCTCCCTGACCAGTGGGAACCAAGGTTTAATTTTTAATTAACCAATAACTATGTGTATTAAATACACATAGTCATTCGTTAATTAAAAATTAAACCTTGGTAGTTACAACATTTTTCATTTAGTTTAACGTCACTTTTTAAACATTCTACGTTTTATAGACACTATATTAATAAAAGCAATAGAAAATTTTATAAATTATGCAAAGTTTCACTTTGCCTCCAAAAATTCAATCCAAATTTATTTTACTAACTTTTTTTTAATTTATTTTAAAAAACTCTAAAATTAAAAATGAGCATTTTTATTTATATTAATACACAATAAATTTCCTTAGAACTATATCTTTATTTTAAAACAATTGTTTGATAGAAAATTATATAATTTTTCTATTGTTTTGCGTAAATGCTTTATCATCCGGGCAGATAATAAATTCAAATTTTATCGGGTAAGTGGAATCAGACAAGTAAAAAGTTCAATTTTTGCTGCATACTAGACACCCATACACATCAAGATTTTAGGTAAATCTCTAATGATAAGTTGAAGTTGCTTTTAAAAACGAACACAATCTAGCACACATTGCAAAATCTAAAGTAACTTTTCAAATAATAACTACTTCATGTTTCTTAAAAGAATTTATCATTGCTTCCATTTAAAAACTTGAAGTATTATGAGCAGATTCCAGATACATATGACAAAGAATAAATTATAGAAATTGAAGCTATTCATGTAGAGTATTTATTACATCAAAGTCCCTCACCCCCAGAAAAAAGCCCAGTCAATATAGTCACATTAATACGTTAAATCAGTTAAATTTTAATCATATTTCAAAAGCAAGCGTCTTCACAATCATAAACCTTACTCCCTCCCAATTGAAAAGTTAAACTAATAGAATAAATTATTCAAATTCAAAAGACAATAATAATTTTTCTTTGGGCCAAATGGCTCAAAAGATATAAAGGTCATTTTTTACATGTGTATTTCAAGTTGGAAAACTTGTTAATTATTTAAATAGCAAGCTAGTTCCAATTCTTAAAAAAAAATGAAGTTTGTCCCCTTTTGCATAGATACAAGTTATTACTATCTTAGTTTAAAATTGGTACACTTTCAGTTTATTTCTGATGTCAAACAGACACCACAAATTAGACAAGATAAACCAAAATTATGAAAGCATTAAATTTTAACAGGGTGCATAGCCAAATTATTCAACAAAAAATAAGTACTTTTCAAGCTCTCAAAAAATATTTTTAAGCACTTTAGAAAAATGTCATCAGAAAAATCATTAAATTTTGAATCGTGTAAAATGAATGGCGTTTTCATCTGACAATACGCCGAAATAGATTGAGGTTGAATTAATTGTGAAAACCTTAAATAGAACAATGTGAACTGTGCCTTTTTGCATAATTCGAAGCGAAAATCAGCACAGTAAAGGAAAAATCTCATTTTGAAAAAGGGAAAATTGAGCACTTTTTAAAAACACTCAATGAAAAAAGCACCTTTAAGGGCTTTTAAAAAACAAAAATCGAAAATAAGCACCTTCAAGCACTATTTAAAAACGCTACACACCCTGTTTAAGGCTTTCTTTCTTCATAAACAAAAATGGAGTGGCCCCACAAGTCAAATAAGACCTTCATATACACAGCACAATAAACAAAACAAAAATTCACAAGGATGACCACTTTTTTTTCTTTTCTTTTTTTTAATATGTGTTCCCTAGACTCCTTTTTTAATCACCAGGTATTTTTATATAGTGTGCCTGTATATTACCATACATAAATCAAGAATATAAATTTGAGAAAAAAGCGCAAGTCAGTCATAAAAATATGATTACACGCATCACAGGTTTTGTGATTGAGAAATAACCAGAGGAATAGAAAATATTATGTATGCGGATATATGATCAGAAAAAAATTAGACCACCAATTGTTATAGATAAATTGTTTCAATTTTTAAATGAAATAAGCTTACAAAAATATGGGAAAATATTGATGAAGAATTGTTAAAGAACTTTGTTCACAATATTTTTCAACATATTTCATGAAATCGACAAAATCATTTCCATTCAAATTTAACTCAAAGCATAAAAAATTAACTCAGAATACTGATTATATGTTCTATTTCAGAAATTTGTTTTGCCTGCATTTCATTCCATGAGAGTTTGTTTAGTAAAATATACAATCCACACCACCTCACATTTAAATTAATGTGACATTACTTTATTTACAAACTTGATACAGCTGATTTAATTTTTTAGAAGTGTGTTAAAAAAAATTATGTAAGCTAAAACCAATAATAATTATTATGAATTTTGAAACTTTTTAGAGAGAATTATCGATCACATATAGATCAACCAGACCATTTGATACTTATAGTATTCAAATAATGTCAAATTATTATTATTATTATTTATTTTTCAGGAAACTTGGCAACAAAAGTAAATTTTATCATAAAAAAGATAAAATTTGATCATAAAAATTAATACTTTAAATATAAAAAGCTTAAAGTACTTTATAATAATTAACAAGGAACCAAGTGGTCCAGAGTTTAAAATTATTTTGAATCAAAATAAAAATAAAAAGAGTTTTTAAAAAAGAAAGACTTACTTCATTTCCTTAGACTGTTTTTCCTGGCCAATTTTAAAGTTGTACAATCCATCTTCCAATTGAGTAGCCCATACTGGTTTCATCCATAATAAAGTATTAAAATGACCTGCATACACAGATGGCATGATCCAATTTTCAATGCTTAGAGAACTGCAAAATAAAATATGATTTTAAAAAAAGTATTTAAATAGAAATTTTGACTAGGTGCACTTTTGATATACTTTGGTTATACTTAAGAATGGATAGAGCAGTTTTTCAAAGAATATTTGTGGTCTAATGCAAAACTAATATCAATATATGAAAAAAAAATTATGCAATTAGCTAAAAAAGCAACACTCCAAAATACAGAACACAATGAAATATATTAGCTTGATTTTAATGATGGGAAATAAAAAATAAAAACATTTTTTTTCTTTCAATTGGCTAAGATATGGTCAGATTTTATAATTTACTAAATATACATTGTCACAAACTAAAATATACTAGCATATTTTAAAAAGTAATTTTTAGAAATAAGATATTTAAATAAAATACTTCACTTATTAAAAATATGGATAAGGTGCACTTATTTCTAATCAATCAATAATTTTTTTGAAAAAATTTATTTAATTTTTGACCTGAAATAATTATGAAATTCAATATATGCACTTGTTTATAAAATTCTGTATGAAGTAAGACAAAATTAAGTTCTTGATCGAAGAAAAAAAATAGGACAATTTAATAACAGTAAAAGCTTAATGTAAGGTATACAGCCTGTTACAAAAAGTCTTACAATAAGCAAAATTTCCAAGTCACTTTCAAAGAAAAAAAAAAGCAGGACATTTCAATAACAGTAATAGCTTAATGTAATGAAGACAGCATGCTACAAAAAATCTTACATTTTAACAATTTTCCAAGCTCTTGTCAAAAATAAAAACAAAATTATGTTTATAACAAGTTGAAAATGATTAACCTCCTATGCCATTGGGAGCTTCTTTTTTTTTTTAAGTTGAAGGGATTTGATTATCAACTATGTCAACCTTCATCTATCAAAAGATACCTCTAGATAAAATTCAAGTTAACATGCTTTATATACTACTGATTTGGTATTTAATATTTATAGTGGTAGTTACGCCACAATACTCCCCTTCCAGAATTTTATCTGAGATAGAATTCGATAAATGGATACCAGTAGTTGATTCATGCTGTTTATTTATTTATAACATTTTTGCTCATTATATTTTTTCTTCATTTTTTGTTTATAGCATTTCTCTCATTTTTTTTTTCTATATTGTTTTTACCGGGAGACATTATTTACTTCACCGGATCTTTTTTTTTTCTTTGAGTCGTTTATATTAAGCAAATTAACTGTTTTTAATGTGGACCATCCATCATGTTAGCGTGTTCAAATCACGTCCGCAGGTCACCATTGTAGGATATTAATTATTCCACAATGGTGACCCGGACGTGATGGCGATGATCAAAATCCCACAAAATGAGCAATATTATCCAAAAAAAGGTGCAAAATGGGAGACATTTCTATTCATTTCTAGTATTAATACAGAAAAGTGGAAAATTAACATCAATCTATCTATTTCCTCCTTACAATTTTAACCCTTACTATTTTTAAAACAAACACAATAGCAAGGAACAGCCAAGTAATCTCTCTTCTTAAAAAGAAATCCTGCCGCACAATTCAAAAGAATGGATCTTTGGTTGACTGCATACTTTCCATCTTGACAGCTTACTGTTATTGATGATTACTGATGTGTTATTATAGGGGTGCACAACCTTTTTGAGTGAAGGGCCACTTGCACAGCAGGTTGGCTAACGAAGGGCCGCACATGTATTTAGACATGTTAATGACAAATGTAATAATGTTTATTTAAACATTATCGTTCCATTTTTTTTATTAATAAACTTAGTAATATCAATAAATTAGTAGTGTTCCATTATTAGAATTCATTCAAAAATAATAAAACTTATACTTTTTTTTTTTTACAAAAAAAATTGCTATTTTTATCATATGAACAATAGATTTATCAAAATAAATAAGCATTGAAGGAAAGAAATATTTTTTTTTTATCATATCATGCAATATGAAAACTCATTTTAGAATTAAATTCTAATAAATTAAAAAAAAACTGCAATGCCCACAGAATGAAAGTAGGAAAAAGTTTAGTCGTAATTAAGTAATATAAATTCAAATTAAATATTTTAATTGAAGAAAATTTATAGGTTTTAAACAAAAGCCTAAAATAAAAACAAAACTGTGATAGTTCAAAATAAAATTCAATGCTTATTTTGTAATGTACTTTATTATTTTATTTTATTAATTATTAGATTTTTTATATCGTAAACATTTTCCTTTTTTTTATCGAAAAAGATCACTTAAGCAACAAAAAATTGAAATCTAAACTACAAACAGTGAGCAGTTTAAAAATTCACGTTTTCCGCCATTTTATGAATTTCTCAAGTTGCAATAACATTGCATTTAAATTAGGGAGGGATGTAACGAGTATTTGGCCCTTCTGTGAAAAATTCAGTTGGTTGAATGATCAGTCAAATATTTGGCAGAATATTTTTTAGAAATGTATTTTTCTAAGTTTTTTTTATTTTTGAATTTTTATAGATATTACTTTTTTTTTAAAAATTAAATTATAATCAGACAAGTCAATTTTGTCATTTTTTCGATACTTTGAGAATTGAGAAGGATTCATTTTTTGCAGTTTTTATTATAACCCAGCATTTTAACAGAACGTCTCATACTATTAATTTATTATCACTCTTTCCCTGTACTGTAATATAAATAACCAGTAACATAGAAAAGTGTGATTTTCAGTATTAAAGTTTTGTTTCAGGAACTAAGAAAAATTTGTTTTTTCTGTTTTTCTTTTTTTAGGCATTTTTATTATGACTCAGCATTTTTTTTAAAAATAAAGTTACAAATAAAATTTATTTTATAGCAATTTTTTTTCTTCTAAAATTATGGCAATGAGAAAAATTTAAATTGAGATTTTCGGCATAAGATTTTCACTTAAAAAATTAAGAACATTTTTTCTATCTTTTTATTTTCTTTAAATAAAAAAAAAACTTTTTTTAGACGTTTTCATTATAACGCAGTAATTTTTAATAGCATTTCTGTTGACTTAATTCTTTTTTCTTGGCTTTTTCTGGTAATTGAAAAACTGAGATGTTCAGCTTTAAAAAAAATTTTCAAAAATTAAGATTGATTTTTATGTTCTCTGTTTCGCTTTTCGACATTTTCAAAAACGTTCTTGATTGGCCTTATTTTTTAGAGTTAATTTATGAATACGTTTTTCCAGGAAATATTATTCTGAGCATTGAAATTTTAGTTTCAGTGTTGCTATACTGCTAAAAGATTTTGCTATTTGGCCCCAAGTGAACGGCGTTCAATAGATTTTTTCTTCTTCTTTTTGCCGAATATTTGGTTTTTGATCAAATCACAATTCATTACCACATTCGACCAAATCATATTCGTTGCGGAAATAAAAACGAAGGAAAAATAACTAGGATTTACGATAAAACTGTACCGAAATACCGTATCAAAAAGTGATTATTTAATTGCGCGATTAACAATCACGTGTCGTAATAACATCATAGTTAAATAACGGGATCGTCAAAATCATGTGGAAAAGTATAGAAATAATTGGGAAAAAATATATTTATGCTGAACTCAGCACGAATAAAGCGTGTCAAATGCATGATTTAAAATTTGCATGTCGTAATAGAATAATTGGAATTTTTTATAATACGTGGGAACGCATAGCAATAACTGCCGAAAAAAATTGTTGAAAAAAAAGAAAGAATTGCAAAAAAAAGATAAAAAATCACTTAGATTTAAGATGAAATCGTCACAAATAAAGTGCCCAAAAAGTGATTATTTAAATTTGCGATCTGAAACTCGCGTCGTTATAAAAATTCGGAATTTTCAAAATCATGTAGAAAAGCGGAAATAACTGCTTAAAAAAATCATTTATATTTACGATAAATTCGGCTTCAAGAAAGCGCGTTAAACGTACATTTACAAAAAAGAATCTGTTAAAATTGATTGCGTCAAAACGTGATGACTTTAAAGTGCGATTAAAAATTGCCATTTTTAAAAAAAATTTTTATTGTAATTAGAAACTCTCGCGGGCCGCACTTCAGTAGTCGAAGGGCCGCATTTGGCCCGCGGGCCGCAGGTTGTGCACCCCTATGTTATTAGATATAGGTTATTTCATATATTATTCATATAGGTCATTATGTTATTCATATAGGTAATTATATTATTCATATAGGTCATTATGTTATTCATATAGGCAATTATATTATTCATATAGGTAATTATATTACTCATGTAGGTATTATTTCATATAGACTATTTCATATAGGTTACTAAATACAGATCTTAGATATAGGTTATTTCAGTTATTTGTACTGTCATTACATTTTATAGCTGTAATAGATTTTCTTTCTCATCTGTATTTATTTTTAAATAATCAAATATGAAACATTTTCATAAAATGCTTAATCCAAAACTGTTTAGGTCAAATGTCACAATTATTCATCTTTTGTTTAATGTTCTTAATGCATCTTTTGTATTACAGGAACATAGGTAAACATATTAATATTTTTAAAAAATGCATTTTTTACACAATTTTAAAAAATAAAACTAATTTTAACAAAAATAAATTTATTTTGTTACATATTTAAGAAAATTAAAATATAATAAGAGTGCCAAAGTCATCACTTAACAGTTTTGTTTTTCAAGCCTACATTTATCAATATCAGTAACATGACAATATCAATATCCCAAACTGCCCAATAAAATAAACCTTGTTATCCAAACAAAAACCAACATTATAACATGAGATCCCTGCATCGCTAGTGCACAAAATATCATAAATATTTATCCAAAAGTAATAAATTTTGGTAATAACATAAAAAATTTCTTTTCATATTTTTAAAAACGTATAAGTACCATTTAAAATTATTATAAGAGGAAAATATATTAAAAAATACTCTTATTCTGAGCAGCCATTTTTAACAAGTTATATCCAGCAAACTTAGGAGTCTGAACGATATTACAACAAAATCCATCAAAGTCTAAATGATAACATGAAAAGTGAAAGTCACAGGTTTTAGTTTTAAAATAAACCAAGTAAGCTAGCTGACTTGAATTAACAGAAAGCATGAATAAGATTTTTAAACATTCAGTAGGCTGTAATATCACTCTTCATATAAAAAGAATTCTAAATGTTTCAGATTGAAAGTGTAATATCAAAAAAAAACAATGGCTTAAAAAAAAAATTTAAGACTTTTGCTAAATCATATGACTCATTGTAAATAAAAGTATTTCATTTTTATAAGTCAAAAGTATTTTACATTTATTTTCTAAGAGATTTTAATGGAAACAGCAAGAAAAAAAAAACTAAATTCCTGTTGCTATATTCGAAGGTAAGGTTCAATGAGACTTTCATACCTGCCAACATTGGAGAAATAAAATTACAGAGATTTTTTAGGCTACGAGAACAAATTTTATACATCATACAAAATCATGTTAGTCAAAAAAAGAAATTCAAAATTGGAAATAACATAAGCACTTACATTAAGCGAAGTAAAAAATAAGCATATAACTCTTATCCTAAAGAAGATTTCTTTAAACCATTATTTATTACTTAAACTATTTTGTAACCATTGTTAAACAACCGACCTAATTTTGGATTTACGGCAACTAATGTTCAACTCCGTAGCCTTGTAATTTTGAACCCAATCCAGAAGACCGGGGAACTCTTGGATCAATCAAGTATTGGGAGAAATTTGCCTCCGTGGAGGACATTTTGTTCGAACTAACCTGCATTTACATTACATAGAGAGGAAAACGACGAAAACGTTCCATGGTCAGCCTGACCACAAGGGGTACTTAAATTATTAACACTAAACATAGTGCGGTATTGGCAATAGCACTATCTGTAAAGGAAGAAGAGAACTATTTTTGCCATCAGCGGATATTCCATCGGGAAAAAAGATTTTCATTGATAAATACGGAGAAATTTGAGAATATACGGGTAAACAGGAGATATTCATAAAATACAGGAGTCTTCATTAAAAAACAGGAGAGGTATGGACTTTATGTGTTGGTCATCATAGAAAAAAAAAGGTAATGTTGTGTAGCATAAAAAGTATAGACTGTATTATTTCAGCAAATGATCGAAAAAAATTTCCCTTCGAGCAAATGTTTAACACAATGCAAAAAATTTTTTAAATGCATGCAAACTCTTTTTTTACATAAATTATCAAAAACTATGCACAGATTATTCATAACAACATACTTTAAAAGATAATCTTTGTCCAAAATTCTTTCAAGGTCTATTGTTTTAGGAATAACAAGATCTGGGTGTGAATCAAAATGGATCATCATACCACCATCAAATTTTAACTTCTTTGAACCTATTGCTCGATATATGTGATATAAGACCTGAAATTGGGAAAAAATTTTAAATATAATAAAAACTTTAAAGACAGTATAAGCTAATATAATGTTTTTTTTAATAAGCCCAGAAAAATAATATAAATAATACTCATAACTTTAAAAATGTAACAGATTAATATTTTTAAAAAAATTAATAAATTTTGGAAATACTTAAATTGGCAAATGAAAGACACAATTTTATATCATTTAAGTATAAAATCACTTTTGGTCAAGATATTAAAAAAACTGAGAAATATTTGAGCTGAAATTGAATTACAGTCACAAAAAATGTCTTTAAAAGAACTTTTTAAAAAATTATAGAAATTTTCTCTTTTGATTGTGGAATACAAAGAATATAAGAATCTAAAACAGGGATTCTCAACTCATGGTCCAATGGACCATGTGTGATCTACAGAACATTTTTATTTTTTGTCTGTAAAATATTGCCTTTATGGCATAATAGTTATTTTAAGGTTTCACCATAATTAGTTTAGCAATTATTTCAATGTCCCTGGTGAATTCTATAAAAAAAAAACGCTTTGTAAATAATTAAATACAAATAATCTTTATTAAATAGCTTTCACAGGAACAACAGAATTTCATGTTAATTGATAATTCTTAATGGCTTGTTTTACAGAAACAAGAAGAACCCAGAAACTACTTCTTAATAATATATTAACACAATTTTATAGTCTATTCTTTATTATAGTTAATACAAGTTGAATACCTATTCTTCGTATGAGGTAAAAAAAAAAGATAAATAAATCAGTATTAGTCAGTCAAAAATATGAAATCATGCAAAAAACAGAAACACATACTGACACAATCAGTTAAGCTGAAACAAATCCATTTTTTTTTTATTATTATTATTTGATGCCCTTCCTGGTGCCTTTATGTTATCAGATAAGCAAAATAAGTTTCTAGAAGTTCATCCCTTTAGAATAAGGATTCAGTATCATTAGCATTGTATTGTATCAGTATCATTGTTGATTATGATAGTATCAGTAATGATCAGTATCATAATCAACAATTTTCTTCTGTATATATCCTTTTCAGTGAGCAGTAAAACCCTATTTCCACAGATGTATCTTGGTACCAATGGTACCTTGGTACAATATTTAATACTAAATAAAAACACAAATCAACACAATAGCAGTAGTACCTATTACTGAAACTAATTAAGCAAAATTGGCATCAATAACAATGTGGTTTTTTATGGTTTTCCTAGATAAATAAGTACTTTTTATCCATCAATTTAGCTCTTTAGTACAAATTTTATTTTTTCATTTCACTTTGTACCTATTACCAAGATTAACTAAGCATCATCGGCAGCAATAAAAATATGGCAATTTTTTACGATAAATATATATGAATAAATGCCTTTTCTCCATTGGCATTTTAATACAAAACTTTTTTTTATTAAAATTTTAACCTTTTACCAAAAATTAATTAATTGTGATTCTCGAAAATTATTAGTAACAACTCGAACAATTTTATAATCATTTTTGGCAAATGAACTTATATTGGTACTCATTTTGAATACTGTAAGGAATTGCCAAATTTTTATTGATTGCCGTAATGCTTAATTAATCATGGTATTAAATACATCTGGTACTGCTCTTAAAATAGGTGTGCACAACCAGCGGCCCGTGGGCCAAATGCGGCCCATCGACTACTGCAGTGCAGCCCGCGAGAGCTTCTAAACACAATTTTAAAAAATTTTAAAAATGGCAATTTTTAATCGCACTTTTAAGTCATCACGTTTTGACACAATCAATTTTAACATATTATTTAGTAGATATACGTTTAACGCGCTTCCTTTAAGCCAATTTAATCATAAAAATAAATTATTTTTTTTAAACAGTTATTTTCGATTTTCTACATGATTTCGAATATCCCGAATTTTCATTACGACGCGAGTTTCAGATCGCAAATTTAAATAATCACTTTTTGTGCACTTTATTTGGGACGATTTCATCTTAAATCTAAATGATTTTTTATCTTTTTTTTCGCAATTCTCTCTTTTTTTCGACAGTTATTGCTATGCGTTCCCACGTATTATAAAAAATTCCAATTATTCTATTACGACATGCAAATTTCAAATCATGCACTTGACACGCTTAATTCGTACTGAGTTCAGCATAAATATATTTTTCCCCAATTATTTCTATACTTTTCCACATGATTTTGACGATCCCGTTATTTAACTATGATGTTAATACGACACGTTGTTGTTAATTGCGCAATTAAATAATCACTTTTTGATACGGTATTTCGGTACAGTTTTCAAATATTTCACAGTAGGTCAAATATTTCTTTTCTTCAATGTTTATTTATTTTGATAAATCTATTGTTCATATAATAAAAATAGCAAGTTTTTTTCTGTAAAAAAAATATATATACAGTACAGAACCCGTTATCCGGAAATCAGAAAACCGGAAAACCAAAGAACCGGAACGAAATTCGATAAATTTTCCAGTTATTTTTTTCAAAAAAATTTTTTAAGATTTTAGGATTTTTCTTTCTTTTTTGAAAGATGTTTACCCTAGCATCATTTTGGAAATAATCATTAGTGTATTACTTCGTTTTTTCAAGATTATTTCCAAATATTTTTTTTTTTAGTTGGGTTTAACAATAAAAAGAACGACTTTTTGTAGCGATTCAGAAAACCGGAAAAATCAGTTATCCGGAATAGCGATTGTCCCGATCGTTCCGGATAATCGGTTCCCTACTGTATATATAAGTTTTTTTATTTTTGAATGAATTCTAATAATGGAACACTACTAAGTTATTGATATTACTAAGTTTATTGATAAAAAAATGGAACACTAATGTTTAAATAAACATTACTACATTTGTCATTAACATGTCTAAATATATGTGCGGCCCTTCGTTAGCCAACCTGCTGAACAAGTGGCCCTTCACTCAAAAAGGTTGTGCACCCCTATCTTAAAAGTATTTTAGTAATGAGAACCCATTATACAAAGGTGCATAAAATAGGTAATGTGGTAACACATATTTTACACTTTCCGAAACTGATAAGTACCTAATATCACCAACCTACTCATTCATGGCACTTAATATACAACCTTTTTTTTATGATTTGTTGCATATTCCGGTGCGATTTCATAATATTAGTTTACCCACTAAAACAAAGATTAACATATTGTATCATTTAAAATGTGATATACCATAATTTTTTTTCATTGTTCAATAGGTAACTACTATTTCATTAGTTCTTGTTGAGTTTATATAAAAGCTTAAGGTTATAATACTATTAAGCTTTAAAATCATATGAACCAATTTAAAAAATTCAGTTTTATATACCTTTTAATACAAATTCAATGATATCATCACCATGCATCATGAAATGTTTAAAGTTGATTTTACTTTTTATAACCTAACATACATAACCAAAGATAAATAATTCATAAGGATTTGGGATGAAAATAATTTTTATTGAGTAGAGCTGCAAACTAGCAAACTGCTTAGTTATAATTATTTATCAAATCTCATGTTAAACTCTTTCTTTGGGAATAAGCACCCAAAGTAGTGGTCGGTAGTAGTTTTGAAGTCCACAGTTAGGTCTACCATGTCTTCAAACATTTTGATGCCAAATTTGGTGCGGATTGACATAGAATTGCAGATTTATATAACCTACATGTATGCATTTAAATATTCTGCTTTATTTATATAGATTATATTTTTACTATAGTTATAAAAATATATATTTAGCAAATGTTACTATAATATATATTTAATCTAATTAAGATGTAGTAAATCTAAACCTATATAGGTTTTCATTTATCATAACAGTTTTCATTAATTACTTTAATTATAATATAATTTATTATTTGAAATTTAGCAACATGAATTGTAACAATGATTTTAAATTATTCCTTAGCAATAAAAACTTTTTTAATGAGTCGCAATTGAAAAAACACACAGCAAAAGAAATTTATAAATGCAAACAGCAGAAGTATATTGCTGTTTTGGTAGAAATATACAGTTGAATATATACAGACCCTTAACAGTTTTTCTCAATGAGTGAGAGTGAGTTATATGTCTCGATCAGTAGAATACGTATATTTTTAACATATAGCATTTGACAATTAAAGAGATGACAACTATCTTTTATCATTTTGCACAGATTTTGTGATTATTAATGAACTGAGAAATTTGAAGAAATTCATGAAATTTAATTTATAGAAATAAGTTGCTACCAATTTCACAACTAAATGTAGATTTCAAATATTAAAAATTCTACTCAAAATTTCAACTCAGCATCTCTACCCGTTCAAAAAATACAACGAACCCAATTTTTTTGCATATAAAGCATTAGCTTTCGTTAAGTTTATTTAATATTATTTATTAATTTTCTGAAAAATTTATAGAACTATTTTACGATGGATGCTTATTTAAGAATAAATAAACTTATTTCAAATTTAGCAAAACATTTTTCTACAGCTCCCAATACGCTGTATTCACTAGTGAATGACGTACAATACATTTTCCGATTATAACAAATATTTAATTAGTTATGAATGATTAATAATTAAATTAATATCAACTTCATTATGATCTTCTACTATAATAGTTGGAATGACAGTCTTCATTCTTTTCTTTGAAGAAATATCCATCACTTAAATTAAATTTCCCGCTTTTCTGACAGAAAACAATTGTACTCTCAGCGATTTCACAATTTGTTTTGGTGGTATTTGTTTATTTCAAAGCACTTCAATTCAATTCACTTAGCATTCCTATTTTTGGGAGTTAGTGGCAGTCGTTTTTGTTAAAGATCATTCTCACTGCCTGCAAGAGAATTACACACATGAATTGGAGATGAGAGCGACAACCTGATTGAGTAATTATGGTTGCGTTCCAATATTCGCACCGGTGACACTGGTTACACGAAAGCGAACTAGTCACGTGATCTCAGTTCACACCGTAATTTAGGAACGATCGGTGCGGTTAGGTCAGTTCTGGTTGCCATTAGCAACCAGAAGCAGACGCTCTCCTCTTTCGGAATCTTTGAGAAAAATATATTAGTGATAACAAATTCATTTTTTGTTCTATTGTATTTATTTCTTGACCATTCTATTTTTGCATTACTTGTTAAAGAATATATATTTCTAGACTTGTAAAGCTGTTTCATATAATAAAGCAAAATATCATGATTAGTTTCAGTTTATCTTATTTATTTTTTAAGTTTAGTTGATAGAAAGTAAAACTTCTGTTTCTTATTGCATATTTTTCCTATTTAAATGTTTATTTTAAAATGCATCCATCATCTCAGTAAGTTTTATATTTAAATATTTAACAAAATTAAAGAGAAAAATAAAAATCTGCTTAGTACAATTTTTATTGTTTTTCTTTGAAATATTTTGGAAATCATATTTTCGAAAAATTAATCGTTATACACTATTCTTTTCCTCCTTGCCCAGAGTGAGTTTTGATTTTTTAAATTTAAAAAAAAAATATTTAGCTTGCTTTAAGCTTAATTTTTCATGTAAATAGCGTAATTAATTGATTTTAAATATATAATAAACTTACTTTCATAATGAATTTTCTCAAGAGAGAAACTTTATCTTAATATAATAAGATCTTTTAAAATGTAAATTTGATAGCATTTCAAATACATGAGATGGCATCTTTGAAATGTTTCTCATTGTAAGCTTAAATGTCAATGACAAACAGTCAAAATAAGTTTAAAATTTGATTGCCAGAATTCAGAAAAATTAACACAGCTTCTATTTTGATAGAGATGGTATGTGGTGCAATGTTTATGAGCAAATTGACTTCAACTGTGTAATGAATATATTTTCATAGTGAAATTTTTCACGAAAGCTAATTTGTTTACATGAAGAAATTTTAAAGTGAAACTTCCTCAGTTCCTCTAACAGAAATTAAAAATAACCATATGTTAGATAAGACTGAAAAGATCAAAATCCAGTTGTGAGATTTTTTTCTTAGCTGCAGTTTAAGCATAAAAAAAAAAAAAAAGAAGTTAGGTAATTTTTATTAGTGAACATATTGTAAGATATTTTTATACTAGCCACCTTTGGCGAGAAGCTATGTCACCTTTCAAAATTATCTTGTACAATATATAAACTTTAACGGTAATCAAGTCGAGTGCAGAGCACATCAGTATTTAAATATTTTAATACTTCAAACCCACCTCCAATCCTAACAGCATAATTAGTTTTAAAAAATATATTAACCAAATTTTTTTTCACCTTTTAGCTGTTGCCCCAGTTGAAAGTAGTACTTTGATCACAATTTTAGCAAAATAGTTAACACAGAGGAAAAAATTAGATTACTGTATGGTAAAAAAAATCCCTCCTAATACTGGATAATAAAACCAAAATATATAGTATTTATATATTTCACTTCAATTTTCCCATTCACAAGATAACGATTTTCTGAAAATTCTGGTTTTCAAAATTACCCACACACAATTAATAAAAAATACTTAACTGAAAAGCGGGTTTAAGTGAATAAATTAATTTTAGGCCATGCTCTAAGGTATCATGAAAAAATTATTAAACTTTACCAAACTTAATTACATATTATAAAACCATATTTTATTTATGGTGTTTATTTCTATAAAATTACAAGAGGACTCTAAATAAATACTTAATGCATAACTAACTGTAAAGCTTAGTGCCAAATATTTTTATTAATTTACAAATAGCACATGGACAAACAAATTTGATTAATTACCAGGAGAAAAAAAAAGGGCCATTCGGTTTAAAGTCTGAGCATCCACTGCCTGGTTCAGAGATTCTCAACCACTGTGCTGCGGCACTTTTGTGAGCCGCCAAATTCTTAAAATGTGCCGCCTAATATTAGAAATGATACAATAAAAATTATAATGCTTTTTTTTGATTATGACTAAAGTTTAAATTTAAGAAAAGTGTATATATATACTTTTTATAATTTTTCCACGCTTTAACCGTGTGATCATCTTTGTCGGTGATTATATTGTCTCTGACAATCTTAAAATAAGATGGAAGTGTTTAAATTGTAAATGACACGTGATTTTAATAAATGTTGTAAGAGCTAATCATTAAAGTAAGCTATGCAATTAATAAACAAATTAACAAAGGATAACTAAAAAAACAAACATATAAAAAAAAAATTAACAAAGGATTACCAACAAATATTAAGCTAACAATTAGCAAAAAAACTAGTTCACAAGAAACCACAAAAAAATAACAGTTAATCAGCTATAGAAAACAAGCAAACAATTAATAACTAGCAAAAAAATAAAAATCTGTTACTAAATAATAAAAAATTGGTCGAAAGAAATAATTAATCTCTTAATAAATGTGATTTTGTAGCACATAATATTTTATATTCAAAATTATTATCACAAACTATTTAACACAGAGTATAATAGGTAATTAAACAACTTTTAATCTAATTTTTTTCATTGTGAGTCGTCAAATTTCGAAATCGTTATAAGTGTGCCGCAACAACAAAAAAGGTTGAGAATCACTGGCCTGGTATGTGGAGATGCTGTGGTAGCTTGGCGATGTAGGCACTGCAAGTTTTTATATAGTTAACATTTCGGTATGAAAAGCTGCTTGCTGAATTCTTTTTTTCAAAATTTTTTTTTATTTTACCAGTTATTTGAAATTCTATATTAGCATTAATAGTATTAGCAATAGAAAGAAAATAGTTGTCAAGCCACTTTTCTTGAATTCTACTGTAAAGCACTTATGCTGTTTAAAATTTACTTTGAAACACTAAACAGTGTTGCTAATATATAGAGAAATACCATGGTGCCACATGGGAGAAATATTTATAAATAGATAACATACTTACCTGAAATGAGTTTGTGTTAAAAAGAGAGAAAGATATTATTATAATTTTGCTACAAGTGGGAGCTTTAGTATTCCATCACAACTATACAATTATAGTATTTAAGTAAAAAAAAATGTTTTAACACAACAATATCATTTTATTGTAAAATATACATGTAAAACTTAAATTATTTAAAAAAATTAAGAAACAAAAATGTTGCAACAAAACAAGAAATGAACTAATGATAAAGTTTAAAGCGTTTTTATTTGTTTACATTCAAAAATAAGAAATTCACTAATATTGTAATCTGCAGATATTGTTGTAATAAAAAATTTTCTATGTTGGACAGAAATATTTAAATTTGTAGTAATATAATTACACATAGTGACAGCAACCTTTGCCATCAAGTTTAAAATCGTTTCAGATAAACTTAACTATTGTTTGCAATTAGTGTGAAATAATGGTGTATACAAAGATGTTTCACATAAAGTTAAATCTCCCTGTCATAACTATTAAGTTGTATTTGTCAGAAATGTTTTAAATCAAACTTTTAAACTAAGTTCAAATATTAACCCGAAAGTTTAAGATGACACAAGCTAGTCAATAATTCACTTATTTCAGTCTTTTTTTAAAAAAATTTTGCCAAAAGTTAGATTTAGTAGTATAATTCAAAAAAAAAAGTATACAAAACAACAGTTATTAATAAGTGTTTCAGAAATTTTCAAGTTAGTGTTATAAAAAATAAATATTTATATTACGTATAGATCAATAATCACGTAATAAATACCTTGAATTAAAAAATAATTATCATTAAGAAATAGAAATCTTGAAACAAAAAGTAATGAACTAATAAGAAATGTAAATAGAAGTCGATTTTTTTAAAATTTTAATCAGAATCAAAGCTTAAATTAAAAATTTACCAATAACATATAAAATCTTCATATTGTTCAAAATTATAATGTCATAATATAATACTAAAATGTTTATTATATTGTGATTTTCAGAATTTATTTTAGTTAACAATTATGAAAGAAATATAAATGTTAAAAACCTTTGGCATTAAAAGTCTAGTTCTAATAACACAGGCCAATGAACGACCTTTGTCGTTGGGCTCTATTTAAGATCCTTTTACAAAAACTAAACTTTTATATAATATCATCTGTTATTAATCTAAGACATTGATTTGCACGTGTGCTGAAGGAGGTACAGATCAGGATAGATTTCCATATCATCACTACTATGTTGTGGTTATCAGAAATGATTTAATATTATAAAAAGAAATACATACAATACAAATTATAAGCATAATACATTGAAGGCCTAGTTTAACAACTTAGGTCAGTCTCTTTAATGAAACTCATATGATGTATAATACAGTAAAAACTAAAAGCATAATTTGTTATTAAGCTAGGATAATATTCATCGTTCCAGGTCTGATATGGAATATAGAAAGGATATAAGAAAAATTTATGACACAAAAGAAAAGTATTTAACAATCAAATATTGATTGGATTTGTTTATTTTAAAAACAATATACATTGGACAAAAATGTTTATGAATGCATATGAAGCAATAAATCTTTTACTGATTTTAAAGTTCTATCGCTATTACAAATTTAACAATGCTTTGGATAGTTGTTTGATTTACAAAACGATATGTTTATTGAAAATCACAAGTCAAAATTCTTTCGATGTGAATCTATCAAGTAAATCTAATCACCACACGTATCAAAATTCAGATGAATTCTTAGTCTTGAAAACAAAAACATACTAATATCAGAAATAAAACGTTTATGAATGATATCCATTGCTATAAACAGCATCAAGACGATTCATCTACAGAATACATTTCCAATAATAATTATTATATTTCAACTTAATACAAGAAAATTTATTTTAAATGATAAAACAAGTTTTTATAACAAATTTAT